TAATTTTTAAGAATAATAAAATAATAATCCATTGCTAATTCGTTGGTAATCTGTTGGTAATCTCAACGAAAAATGTCTGTTGCTAAAATTCCGTCTCTATTGCCTTCTTTTCTTGTAGTGATAAATGGAACCATTCGAGTTCTTGTAATTATTGGAACCAAATCCGAACGTTAGTTCCGGTTCGGTTCAATTCTACCCATAATTTTTTTATAATATACATTTAATATAGACTCTTTCGATAAGTATACCTTGCACGCTACTACTCAACAATATTTGTGCAAAGAAGAAAATTAGCTAAGAAGTCCAACTACACGACTCAAATTAGTAAAGATTAAAAATCACAAAAGAGGATAAAATTTAAACAAAAAGAAAAAAAAATTACAGTTCGATAATAAATGATTTTTTTTAATAAATCTTATTTAATATATAAATGAGACATGCTAGCGCCTATAATTTAATTATTGACAATGCTTAAATTCTTCTACTATTAAAACGAACTGATATTAAAAAATACTAATTAGATATATAACTATATTGTTAAGAAATTGCAGTTCACGTATTGAACTCGTCTTGCTTGAGTAAAAAAATGAAAAATTATATTTTAAAAGAGAACCACGAACTTGAGATAACAAAAAATGTACATCACACTCCAAACTATGAATATAGCAAATTAATTGTCATACTATGTAGATTTTTTTTTTGAAAAAATCACTTGAATTGTAAGAATGAACACTTTATTCATCAACTTGCACTTCATCTCTATCTTGAACTTTTTGATTCATGGTAAGTTTACATTGTAAAGAATAACATGTATTAACATCTAAAATGTAATAATCTGATGTGAGACGAAAGACAAAAAATTAAGAGCAGGTCATGATTTCTTAGGGTTAGAGCATAGAGTTTTAGAAAAATTAATATCCAAATTAGAGTTTTTAGGTTTTATATATTTTTTTATTAAGCTTTTAAATTGTAAAAACTGAAAAATTATATAAAAAATCGTTTTCATTCGGGTGTCCAGGGTTCTAGTTTAGGAATCAAGAACCATCCCAAAAGCCAATTGGTGATCCGTAATCAGTTTCGTTTCCTAATTTATCTTTTTGGAATTGAATCGGAACCTTGGGTTCAGTTTCGATTTCAGTTCCAGATGATCGATTTTAATTAAAATGCCCATACCTACTTAAAAGCTAATTAATTTAAAGAAAAAAAAAGGCAAGCTTAACCAAAGACTACATATTTGGCATTACGGCAAAGACCTCCCGTTTATCATA